TTTATGGTGTTTTAGAATAGAAAATGCGTCACCATTAGGCAAGGATGGTAAACCGATACCAATTGATTTAAGCAGAGCACGACTTGGTGTTACTGCTTGGCTTGAAGAGTATAATGTTAAATTTGTAAAAAGACATGATAATGTCGAAAATGTTTTATCTGGTCTAAACAAAATTCAGGTGTAAGAGTGTCACAAGGACTCTCGCAATATAAATGACATCTACTTAACATTTTATTAATTTTTATTATTATGTCACCCATAAAGTAAGAGAACCAGTGCTATTGTAGTTTATATTTTAGTAATTTTTTATGTTTAAATCCAATAATAATAATTTTAATTGTCTGCGTCTTGTTTAAAGCTTAAATAATTTTGTTTTACTGTAAACCTAAGCGTCCAATGGGACATTTACCAGGAAAATTGCTGTTTGGCACTTGATTTCAAACTGTGATTTTCCTAACAAGTGACCCATACATAAATTCAGGTAATAAAAGCAAATGTTCGGATTATACGTATGTACGTACGTACGTACACAGATTGTGCCGAAATTCTAAAAGGAAATTAAAACAATAATTAATGATCAAGTGGTATTGTTAGAATTTTCTTCCTTTGTTGGATTTGGTACCCATCTATAGTTCAGATCATCTTGACAACTTATATAACGTGAAATTGATCTTTGATTTTAGTCAATAAAGCAAAACTAGCTCTCAGGCCCGGGCGATATTCCGGGAACATGATTTTAATTTTTTATAGATTTTAAATTTTTAAATCTTAAATTTTATTTTTTAGCTTTTAGATCTTTTAATACTTTAGAAATATAGTTTTTTATATTTATTTAATTTTTAAAGTTTTTTAAATTTTAATTTTTTAGCTTTTAGATCTTTTAATACTTTAGAAATATAGTCTTTTATATTTATTTAATTTTTAAAGTTTTTAAATTTTAATTTTTTAATTTTTTAAAGATTTTTTAATTTTTTAAAGATTTTTTAATTTTTTAAAGATTTTTTAATTTTTTAAAGATTTTTTAATTTTGTTTTTTTTTGCTTTTAGTTCTTAAATCAGTATAATATGTTGAAATTATAGTTTTAAATTTATTTAGTTTTTAAATTTTTTAATTATTAGTTTTTAATTTTTAAAATTTAAACTTTAATATATAATTTTAAATTTATTTAGTCTTTATATTTTTTAAGTTTAATTGATAGTCCGCGAATAAATGTGAATGCTAATAATAAATTCTTATAACGGCATATATATACGTATATATAAT